CCGGGTGTAACGAACACATTGCTAAAGATAAATGTTTATTTGATGTCCTCAGGCGAGTTGGATACCGACTCGAGTTTACAGGTTCACATTCCTAATGGAACGGGTATCACCGTTCAGGGTATTGGGAACTCGAGATTAAGTAATGGGTTCATGCTTCATCGTGTCCTACATGTTCCCGAGTTCTAGTGCAATCTATTGTCTGTCAGTCGTCTTACCGCCGATCATGCTGTTATTGTAATTTTCTTGAGTGATATCTGCGTGCTACAGGACTTACGCTCCAGAGTGATGATTGGGATGAGTAGACGCGTCGATGGTCTCTATTACTTGCAAGTGTTTGATGGGCGTCATCCAGTGGCATTCACGGCAAAGTAGGCTATTAGAGACTCTCAGTTGTGGCACTCGAGTCTTGGTCATCCGTCGGCATTGAAATTTTCAGTTTTACAGTCTTATATTTCAAGTACTTTGGTTGTCGATAAGGACCCATGCATATCTTGTTTATGGGCTAAACAAACTCGGTTACCGTTTGTTGCTAGTACTGTTAAGACTACGTCGAGCTTTGATCTCATTCACATTGATATTTGAGGAGGATATCAACAGGCCTCGTTTTCTGGTGCTCATTATTTTCTCACGATCGTGGATGATTTTAGTCGTGTTGTGTGGGTGTATTTGTTGAAGCAGAAATCCGAAGTTGCTCGGTACCTTCTTATGTTTTTCAATCAAGTCCGGACGCAGTATGGAAATATTGTCAAGCACATCCAGGACGATAATGGCAGAGAATTCAGTACTCCTGAGCTACGTTATTTTTATGAACAGAACAGAATTATTCTCCAGACTTCTTGTGTACACACTCCGCAACAAAATGGGATCGTTGAAAGGAAGCATCGACACCTTCTCGACATTGCACGAGCACTCCGATTTCATGCTGGTCTACTGATTCATTTTTGGGGCGAGTGCATCCTTACAACACCGTATCTTATCAATCATCTGCCACTCACCACTATTCAGAATCAGACTCCTCACGAAGTTCTTCTCGGTCACCGTCCGAAATATGCTCACCTGCGAACTTTCGGTTGTCTTGTCTATGCCAAAGATACACACCCTGGTCTTCTAAATTCACAGCTCGTGGGAAGTCCGATATTTTTGTAGGATACCCCGCACATCAGCGGGGATATCAGATCTTTGATATTGCTCGACGAGTCATTTACACTTCCCGTGACGTTTTTTTCTTGGAAGGTGTCTTCCCGTTTCAGAAGCTAGGGACGTCGGCAGCCTTGCCCCCACAGTTTCGTCCCTATCCTGGCCACATGATGACGATAACAACGAGCCTGCAGATCTGTGGGTCATCGACATGGTGCAGGGTGTAGCTTCCTCTCGCGACGAGGATGGACTTGTTGGCGTCGCTTCCCCAGCTCCAGCCTCTACACCAGAATTATCCTCCAGTCCACACACGCCCAGCTCGCCCTCCAGTCCACACGCGAGAAGCTCCCTTGCCTCGTCCAGCTCGTCTCCCATTTCATCCTCATCTCCCGCCAGCTCTCTCAGTCCCAGCACCACAAATAATGTTGCCAGTCCATCGTCCTCGCCCGCGTCTACGGCCGAGCCAGTGCCACGTCACAGCACGCGTGTCACTCGTCCCCCGATTCGTCTCCAAGACTATGACACAGACCTCCCTAGTCTGCGCCCGCATGCACAACATGCTTATCTTTATCCTCTCAGCAACCATGACACGTACGAGAGACTTTCCCCTGATCATCATGCTTTTGTATCAAATGTCTCTGCTACGTTTGAACCCAAGTACTTCTGGCAGGCCGTCCGTTCTGAGCATTCGAGGAAAGCAATGCAAGAAGAAATCAATGCTCTCGAGGCCAACGGAACATGGGTGTTAGCAAATGCACCGCCTGGTAAACGCATCGTTGACTGCAAGTGGGTCTACAAGGTCAAGTTCAAGCCTGATGACTCTATTGACCGGTATAAAGCTCGTCTAGTGGCCAAAGGCTTCACCCAGATTGAAGGTACCGATTATCACGATACTTTCACTCCCGTTGCCAAGCTTGTCACTGTTAGTTGCTTGATTGTTGTTGCCGTCAGTCAGAACTGGTTTCTCCATCAGCTAGACGTCAACAATGCGTTTTTACACGGTGATCTTCAGGAAGAGGTTTACATAAGAGTCCCTCAAGGTTTTTCTTGCCCTGGTGATTCTCGTGTTTGTCGGTTCCAGAAGTCTCTCTACGGTCTTCGTCAGGCATCAAGAAATTGGTACCAACAATTTTCTCGTGCACTTCTTGGGTTGCAGTTTGTTCAAAGCCATGCGGATCACTCGTTATTCACTTATCGGTTTGGTTCTAGTTTTGTGGCTGCACTTATATATGTCGACAACGTCATTCTCATTGGCAATGATGAGCATTTTATGCAGAAGATCAAGGATTTTCTCCATGTCGAGTTCACCATCAAGGATCTGGGTAACTTGAAGTATTTCCTGGGTATCGAAGTTGCTCGTTCTCGTCAGGGTGTTGTGCTGAACCAACGCAAGTATGTCCTGGACATACTCGCTGACTATGGGCTTGAAGGAACTCGTCCATGTACTGATGTACCACCCCTATCGAGCAAAACCATCACCTGGGTCGTCATCCTTCAGCCCCAGCTCCCGATCCTTCGAGTTTTCGGCGTCTCGTTGGGCGGTTACTTTATCTTACGGTCACCCGTCCTGATATCCAGTACGCAGTCAATATTCTCAGTCAGGAAGTTCATGCACCTACTCAGGCTCACGTTGATGCTTCTGTACGTGTTTTGCGCTACTTAAAGCAATCTCCTGGTCATGGTCTCTTCTTCCCAGCTCAGAATCCCCTTCGTCTCGAGGCTTACTGTGATGCGGATTGGGGTGGTTGTCCTACCACTCGCCACTCCACTACCGGTTATTTCATTAGTCTTGGCGGTGCTCCCATCTCTTGGCGCACTAAGAAACAGTCTGTAATTGCCCGGTCATCTGCTGAGGCCGAGTATAGAGCCATGGCTACCACTATCAGTGAGATCGTTTGGCTCCGTTGGTTGCTCTCCGAGCTTGGTCACCCTTCCACGCCTGCCACTCCTCTTCATTGTGACAATCAAGCCTCCCTGCCTATCTCTGCTAACCCCGTGTTTCATGAGCGTACCAAACACGTTGAGATGGATTGTTATTTTGTTTGAGAACGTGTTCTTTCTGCTGATATTGCTCCCTAAAAGATCTCTACTCATGACCAGCCTGCAGATTTGTTTACTAAGGGCTTAAGCGTGGATCAGTTCAGTCATCTTCTTTCCAAGCTCGACATGTTGGATATTCATGCCTTCGCTTGAGGGGGAGTGTTGCGGTTACTGACTCGACTCTACTGTCACCCTAGGAATTGGCCAAGTGCAACCACTCCCTAAAGCGTAGTATAGCGGGTTTAGGTTTATATGTCAACCCGGGTCCTAGATTTGCTGACTACTCAGTGAGTTCGTGTTATCTAGCAATGAAACTGGGATGCAAGTCTAAACTATCAAACTAACAAAGCAAGTAAACTGTTGTATTCAGGTTAAAGAGGTCACCCGGATATGGTTCCCCCTAGACTGCAGTTAAGCCGGATTGTAATTACCAAGTTCAGTTTCTATGACAGTTATACTGCGGAAGGTTCTTAAACAGCCTGAAGTCTCGACTAAAGGTCTTCAGACCCTCTCAATCTGACTCTCTAGCGGGCGACTAACCTCCACCGGAGTCGACAGATTGAGGCCCTAAGAACAAAACCTCCACTACCGGAGTAAATCCGGTACAGAATAGTGAGTTGGTTCCTCGACTAAAGTCACCAACTCCCTACCTTCAATCAAGGATACTCTATTAGCCTAGGCAGATATTCTCATTCTAGGTTGAAGCAGAAACAACAGGAATTTGATCAGGATTCAAGTCATTCAATCATTAAAACCTCAATCGAATATAATCAATCACAGAATCAGTACTTGGGTTCATACAATCAAAGCCTAACATACAAATCTAGGGTTCTCCATACCCAGATGAATGGGAGAATTACTCCATAGAGAAGAAAGCAAAAGCAGAATCAGACACGGAATTCATACTGCGAAGGATGGATTCCTGTTTCTGGACGTTGATCGGCACTTCTCCAAGCTCAAGCTGGCCTCCAATGGTGTTGAAGATCAATCTAGGGCACTTGGGAACTCTTGCTCGTCACTTTCTCTCTCTAGGAACTGATCTCTCTCTCAAAAACTCGAATCCCCCTTCTTTGGTTCGGAATTTGGCTTAAAACCAGGAAATCCCGACTCGCACGGCCAGGGTGCACGGCCGTGCATATCACCATTCTGGCCGTGCAACTCAAAACGCAGCGTGTCATTTAGTCGAACTTCAGCCCTCTCGCACGGCCAGGGTGCACGGCCGTGCGAGCTTCAGGGGTTGCCCGTGCGTGTCCTCGGCATAAGGCGCACGGCCATATTGCTCACGTGCACGGCCGTGCAGCCTCCCTGGTCTGCCCGTGCAGCTCCCCAGAAACCTCGCTATTCGTCCGTTTTTCGTCCAATCGACCCCAGACTCGCTCCTAAGCCTTCATTCACGTACTAGGACCTGAAACATCACAAACAAGCACAACCTAGCGTGAAATCGGTCTAAACCACGAGAAATCACATCTCAAACGGTGTAAGAACAGGGGTAAAAACATGTGTAATTAACGGTTTATCAGTTACTTTGCCTTGCGTTCCAAGTAACCAAGTCTTTGTGTTCTAGTGTGTATACGTTTCCTAGTTAATATGTAAAGGGAAACCAAGTCATTACTCAAAGGGATTAGTTTTCTCCCTACATCACTATATAAGCTTAGCTTTGGGTCTCCTGTCAAAGCAAGCCAGGTCACGCAGTCATAAATAATATCTCAGTCCGTGAGCTCGTTCCGACCTCACAGTGGATTAGTCATGTTCACAACGAACAGGGATACCACGTAAATCTTGTCTTCATGTTCATCTTTCCGCGTTATCCGATTTCTACAGTTAATGGTTGGATCTTTTTAGTTAGGATTCGGGATGGCAACAAACCCCGAACCCATGGGTACCCACCCGACCCAACCCGGTCAACGCATGTAAATTCCGTGTTGACGGGTTTTGGGCCGGGTTCGGGTTTAAACCCGCTACATTATTCACCGGGTTGGGTTGAGTTTGGGTTTAGGTAAACTCGCCCCATGGGTGCGTGGCGACACCCATATAATTAATTTTTCCGGGTTATTTAATATTCTAAGCAATATATCTTCCTTAAACAACTAATCTTTTTTTATGTTTGTGGAGACATGTCTAATTTGTTCTTTCTAATTGTGTACAATGAAGTTGATATTATGGAATGGAGAGTGAATAAGTTTAATTGTGTACAATATATCTCCCCCACACTTAACCGTTTGCTTGTCCCCAAGCAAACCTAACTCAAACCAATGCAACTCTCCAGACCTCTATAGCAACAAACAACTCAGATCGTAGGTAGAGGACTTCCTAGATCATTTAGCAGCTTACGAGGTCAACCGACGCACAAGTCATCTCATAACTTCTTCAGCGAGTCGGCATCATGGCAAATAGTGAACAGAGGACAAATGGATTGTGGATGAAGAGATTCTCAAAAACAAAGGATCATGGACTCACATTTTTCAAGGTGCTCTATTTTCTTCTTGAAGATGGTTGAGACCCCTTTTTTTCCTGTTTTGCTTGTTTTCTGATATTTTTCTTTTCTTTTCTTTTTCAAGGGTCCCAACCTGCTCTTACCGGCCATGCCAGGAGCGGATGTCTCGAGCCTCGTGCGGGGGAAAGACATGTAAGGGGGCTGGAGGTAGTAGGTGGAAATTGGGAACGAATTCCCGTCTCCCCTTACACACTTTCGCCCTATTCGCACGGGAGACGTTTATTTTGAAGCACATTTTCGAGCACCTGTTATTTTCAAAACATGATACAAGAGTCCATGACAGGCAGAGAATCCACAACACCACACAATTCAAGGGTCCTAAGATCACTAATTCACTCAATCAACCAACTCAATATGAAGAAGAAATGAGACTCCTTAAATGCATCACCATCCTCCATAGTGCTACACTACCTCCCTAGGTTGCATATTACTATAAAGACTGTCAATTCAAAGCATACTGAGCAGGCAATTGCAAGGAAACACGTACTTGGAGCCCTCAAATTTAAAAATTTGGACAGTGGACTAGGCTCCAAGCTTAGACTCCAAGCACACAAACAGATCTAATGCAGTCAAAAGATAAACACCCCCCCCACACTTAAGATCGACATTGCCCTCAATGGAGAATAGGGAAGGGATAGGGAAAGATGTTACCGGTATGCACGGACTGCAGGGGACTGGAAACGGGCCAGTCGGGGCAAGCACAGCCAAAGGGGAACAGAAGAGCTCAAACACAGTATGTTAGGTTCAATGGTCAGCCCAATAAAATATCATCCAAACTAAAAGAAAACAAACCAAACCCAAACCGGGTTACAATCCGACTCAAAACACAAGAAAGAAAATCAAACCGAGGTGGGGTTGCCTCCCCACAAGCGCTTCTTTACCGTCGTATTAGCTGGACGCCCATGGTGGATACTCAGGGCGGTGCAGGAACAGGTGCCTCCAAGAGCGGATCCACGTCGCTCTTGAGGTACAGCTTCAGGTTGTGGCCATGCACCCGACGGATGCGACCACCATCATCAGTCAGCTCGACCTGCCCATCTGGCAAGATGAAGGTGAGCGAGTACCCGGACGGCCAGGGTGGTCGTGGTGCAGGAGGTGGGACCAGCTCATAGTGGTCTCCACTCTTCTTCCGTGCAGGCTTAGCAACCTGCTGCTTCGGCCGCCACTCCTCCTTGAGCTTTTTGTTCGGAGGTGAGGCTGGATGGAGTGGCGGCGAAGGAATAATAGGAGGGTCCTGCAAAATAGGAGGTGCAGAAGGATACACGACAGGCTCGTGTACCTGATCAGACATAGCATGCACAGGCGTGACATCAATCATAGCACAGTGATCAAACTCAGTCACAGAAAAAGTAGCCTGTTCATTCCCAGCACGCAAGATCAACTTACCATCATGCACATCAATTAGTGCCTTGGCGGTGGCAAGAAATGGCCTACCTAGAATCAAAGGCACATCCACATCCTCATGCACATCAAGAATAATAAAATCAACAGGATATGTGAATGTACCTACTTTAACAAGCAGATCCTCAATGATACCCTTAGGATGCACGATAGAACGATCAGCTAATTGAATGCTCATCCTAGTAGGGCTAAGTTCACCTAGGTCTAGCATTTTATACAACTTATATGGCATGACGTTAATGCTAGCGCCTAGGTCCGCCAAGGACTTTCCTACATGCATACTGCCAATAGTAAGAGGGATAGTAAAACTCCCTGGATCCTTGCGCTTCTCGGGCAGCTTGTTCTGCAGGATAGCAGAACACTCCTCACTGAGCATCACTGTCGAGAGATCCCCAAGTTTCTTCTTGTTGGTGCAGATATCTTTCATGAACTTGGCATACTTGGGCATCTTCGACAGTGCCTCCATGAACGGTATGCTGATGTTGAGCTGCTTCAACATTGCCATGAACTTGGCAAACTCAGTCTCCAGCTTGTCCTTGTGTAGGCGAGTGGGGAAGGGAAGCTGGGGTACATGCTCCTTAACCACTGGTTGTGGCTTGGGAGCAGGGGCTTCCTTCTCCACCCGCACTTCTGCATCGTCGGCTGGAAGTGCTGAAGCAGGTAGTGGCTCCTCCTGTCTGGCCGGGGCAGGATCAGCAGATATCACCTTACCGCTCCTGGTAAAAATGGCATCCAGCTGCTGATGCTGGTGAGGATCTCGAGGATTAGGAACAGTGGTGGCAGGCAGAGTCCCCGGTGCCCTGGTGGTGCTCTGGCGGGCCAAGATGCCCACCTGGGTCTGCAGATCCTGCAAAATGGCACCCTGGTTCCGCTGACCTGCCTCCAGTGATGTGATAGCAGCCTGGGTGCTAGTCATGAATGAAGCTAGAATGTTTTCCAGCTTCGTCATCCTATCATCTGGGGCCGGAGCTGCTGCTGGCTCGGCAAACTGGCGTTGGGGCTGCTGGAATGGCTGGCCCTGCCTAGGCTGGTAGGGCTGCTGCTGTGGATCTGGCCCCTGGCGAGCCTGGAAGGGCTGCCTCTGCTGAAAACCACCTGCTGGTGCTGGGAAACCAGGTGGTTTAGTGGTGTTGCTGCTCCAGGCGAAGTTGGGATGCTGGCGCCACCCCTCATTATATGTGCTACTGTATGGATCGAGGCGCCTCGCATTGGCGATGAAGGCCAACTGTTCCTGGGGTGTGGTAGACTCCCTCATAGCCTGGCAGTCCTCCACTAGGTGACTGGAGCTCTCACACCACTGACACTGAGCAACTGGAGGTGTAGCCAAACCTCTGCCCGGAATCAGACTGTTGGGCTGCTTCAATGTCTGCACTAGCTCAGCTACCTGCTGCTCGAGCCCGGATCTGGTCTCCATGGCGTGCACACCACGGTCCCGGGACTGTCTGCCTCGGCTACCCTGTCCCCAAGAATGATCTCTGGCAGCCAAAGTACTGATCATCTGGTTCAGCTCGGGTGGAGTCTTGGTAAGAATATCCCCTCCTGGGCATAAAGACTCAATCACCCTCTGGCTATCTGGGGAGAGAGCGCTGTAGAAGTTCCCCACAGTGAAAGCATCACTAAAGCCATGGTGGGGGCACTGCCAGAAGTAGCCCATGTACCGCTCCCAAGCATCACGGAGTGACTCATCTGGCTCCTGGCGGAAGTGAGTGATCTCCCGCTGAATCTCTGTAGTCTTCGATGCCGGATAGTACCTGTGCACGAACTTGTCCGCCAGATCGTCCCAAGAGGTGATGGACAATGGGGGCTGGGTCTCCAACCACCTCTTAGCATTCCCCGCCAGAGAATGGGGGAAGAGATGAAGGCGGATCACATCATCGGGGACACCATTCAGCTTGAACCCGTTCGTCAGCTGCAGAAAACGGGAAAGATGCACCCTGGCCTCCTCATTCTTCAAGCCATGGAACTGGATCGAGGATGTGATGAGCTGAATCCAGCATGGCTTGATCTCGAAGTTGTTTGCTGGAATCGGCGGGTAGAGGATGACCGGGCGGATATCAGCAATCCGCGGAGTGTAGTAGTACTCCAAGGTGGGACCCGGCTGCGGTGGATGATGAACTCCATGATCCTGGGGTATGGGGTTGTTCCCCAGGACCTGATTCACCGGGGGAACCTGCTGTGGATTCCCCTGGTGTTGGTTGTAGTCTCCGTCCATCCCGTGCTCTTCTTCAGAATCGCTGCTCAGGTGGCCGTCTATGCGCTCTTCCGTAGCCAGTCTAGCTCCCTGTTGTCTCCTGAGCTGGCGACAGGTGCGGTCAATCTCTGGATTCAACGGCAGTAAACCTCCCGACTGGCTACGGGTCATGCACTACCTGCACACACTCAAGCAACAAACCCGTGAAGGCACAAGTGGGACAAAGAAAACAAAGCAAAAAGAAAAGCTAAATTAACAGAAATCACTTTTCTTCAACAACCTAGCCGTCCCCGGCAACGGCGTCAAAAACTTGACTCGACTCTACTGTCACCCTAGGAATTGGCCAAGTGCAACCACTCCCTAAAGCGTAGTATAGCGGGTTTAGGTTTATATGTCAACCCGGGTCCTAGATTTGCTGACTACTCAGTGAGTTCGTGTTATCTAGCAATGAAACTGGGATGCAAGTCTAAACTATCAAACTAACAAAGCAAGTAAACTGTTGTATTCAGGTTAAAGAGGTCACCCGGATATGGTTCCCCCTAGACTGCAGTTAAGCCGGATTGTAATTACCAAGTTCAGTTTCTATGACAGTTATACTGCGGAAGGTTCTTAAACAGCCTGAAGTCTCGACTAAAGGTCTTCAGACCCTCTCAATCTGACTCTCTAGCGGGCGACTAACCTCCACCGGAGTCGACAGATTGAGGCCCTAAGAACAAAACCTCCACTACCGGAGTAAATCCGGTACAGAATAGTGAGTTGGTTCCTCGACTAAAGTCACCAACTCCCTACCTTCAATCAAGGATACTCTATTAGCCTAGGCAGATATTCTCATTCTAGGTTGAAGCAGAAACAACAGGAATTTGATCAGGATTCAAGTCATTCAATCATTAAAACCTCAATCGAATATAATCAATCACAGAATCAGTACTTGGGTTCATACAATCAAAGCCTAACATACAAATCTAGGGTTCTCCATACCCAGATGAATGGGAGAATTACTCCATAGAGAAGAAAGCAAAAGCAGAATCAGACACGGAATTCATACTGCGAAGGATGGATTCCTGTTTCTGGACGTTGATCGGCACTTCTCCAAGCTCAAGCTGGCCTCCAATGGTGTTGAAGATCAATCTAGGGCACTTGGGAACTCTTGCTCGTCACTTTCTCTCTCTAGGAACTGATCTCTCTCTCAAAAACTCGAATCCCCCTTCTTTGGTTCGGAATTTGGCTTAAAACCAGGAAATCCCGACTCGCACGGCCAGGGTGCACGGCCGTGCATATCACCATTCTGGCCGTGCAACTCAAAACGCAGCGTGTCATTTAGTCGAACTTCAGCCCTCTCGCACGGCCAGGGTGCACGGCCGTGCGAGCTTCAGGGGTTGCCCGTGCGTGTCCTCGGCATAAGGCGCACGGCCATATTGCTCACGTGCACGGCCGTGCAGCCTCCCTGGTCTGCCCGTGCAGCTCCCCAGAAACCTCGCTATTCGTCCGTTTTTCGTCCAATCGACCCCAGACTCGCTCCTAAGCCTTCATTCACGTACTAGGACCTGAAACATCACAAACAAGCACAACCTAGCGTGAAATCGGTCTAAACCACGAGAAATCACATCTCAAACGGTGTAAGAACAGGGGTAAAAACATGTGTAATTAACGGTTTATCAGTTACTTTGCCTTGCGTTCCAAGTAACCAAGTCTTTGTGTTCTAGTGTGTATACGTTTCCTAGTTAATATGTAAAGGGAAACCAAGTCATTACTCAAAGGGATTAGTTTTCTCCCTACATCACTATATAAGCTTAGCTTTGGGTCTCCTGTCAAAGCAAGCCAGGTCACGCAGTCATAAATAATATCTCAGTCCGTGAGCTCGTTCCGACCTCACAGTGGATTAGTCATGTTCACAACGAACAGGGATACCACGTAAATCTTGTCTTCATGTTCATCTTTCCGCGTTATCCGATTTCTACAGTTAATGGTTGGATCTTTTTAGTTAGGATTCGGGATGGCAACAAACCCCGAACCCATGGGTACCCACCCGACCCAACCCGGTCAACGCATGTAAATTCCGTGTTGACGGGTTTTGGGCCGGGTTCGGGTTTAAACCCGCTACATTATTCACCGGGTTGGGTTGAGTTTGGGTTTAGGTAAACTCGCCCCATGGGTGCGTGGCGACACCCATATAATTAATTTTTCCGGGTTATTTAATATTCTAAGCAATATATCTTCCTTAAACAACTAATCTTTTTTTATGTTTGTGGAGACATGTCTAATTTGTTCTTTCTAATTGTGTACAATGAAGTTGATATTATGGAATGGAGAGTGAATAAGTTTACTTGATGAGGAAGGAGTTTCAATTAATCATGTTGTTTATAGATGTTTATCTTTAATTTTGAACAATTTGTATTGATAATTTGCGACTTGCTTGTATGCTCTAGATTAGTGTTTTTTATGGATAATCTTTATGAGAAAATTGATGTTAGATTTTTATTTTGAAAGAAACTTGTTATTGTAAATTGTTTACAACAAAAATCCACGGGTACCCATGAACCCGCAGATACCCAGCGGGTTGGGTTTTAGTTTTTCAAACCCAGCAGGTTTTACCCCGGGATTTTTTTTTACGGATAAACCCATGGATTTGGGTTTGGGTTTGACAAAATCCACCCCAACCCGAACCATTGCCATCCCTAGTTAGGATTAACCTGATTTAGCCTTTATTTTAAAAGAATATACACATATGCGGTAGTGAGAATTAAAATATAATTTATATACAATACCATATAATAATATAGCATTAACTCTACGCTCTTGTTTAAAAAATAATAACCATAAAAAAGAAAATAACAAAAAGAACTGCCAAACTCAGTACTCACTCATTCCCCCTGTTTCCCTTCACTTCCCTAGGTTCATTCCCAAAACCCCATTTTCTTCCTCCTCGCCGCCCTGCCCAGACTACTTCGTCCCCCTTCCTGCCTCACTCCCACTCCTACGTTAGCCACCACTCCGTAGAGTCCTACTCCAAATTATTTTTTGATTCACGCAAGTATGGATCTAGGAAGGTCTTCACCAACGATTCCTGGTGCCCGTTTCTTCTAGCTGTTCTCGGTAGATTCGATTGGCCGGCAGGTTGACCCGGGGGTTGACAATATTGGTTAGCAGTATTCAGATCCTTCACCCGTCAGAGCCCTAGCCTGGCCTACTCTTTGGGATTGAAAATATCTTTCTATACCACAAGGCTCATCTTCCGCTTCCCGTTCTCAGCCCCCCAAACAAAGCCTTTGATTTTTTGTCAATCTCATTACAAACAGAGACCGAAAGCACAATTATTTTCGTAATGTAAGGAATAATATTAAGAACTGAAAGAGCTAATGTTACCTTCCCGATGAGGGGAAACGTCTTAACCTTCCAACCTACTAGATTATGGTCAATTCTATCCAAGACATAATTGTATGTACCATTCGTAATTCTACCATGCAATATCGCCACCCCTAAGTACTTGCCAAGATCCAAGTCGTCAGAATATCTAGGATCACACTCACTTCATAACAGTATTGTCAAGGTGTATTCTTAGAAATTATCGAGGTGTATTCTTAGAGAGTAAAACCCGAGACTTGTCACAACTTACTAGTTGCTCCAAATATTACCCAAAGGTTTTCATGAAATCCACAACCACCTTTACATGTTCATTAATGGCGCTTCTGCAAACAACACCAAATCATCAACAAAAAAAGGTGAGAGAGTGGTTATCTCCTCAAACCAACGTGATTGGTTTTCCATGAGCCAGTGTTAACTTTTGCCTCAAATGTTTGATTTAGACGTTCCATGCACAATGTGAATTGATATGTAGACAAAGGACATTCGTGTCGGATGTCCCGTGATGGGATAAATTCCTCTGACGCATTTCCTTCTCATAGCACATTGAAGGATGACTAGGAGACACAACACATGACCACTCTCACAAATCCATCAGGAAGTCTAGTAGTGTACATGGTCTCCTCAAGAAAGCCCCAACCAATGTGAAGTACCATTTAACTTGTCCATCGTGTCCCGCGTCCCATACTATGGACTACTTCATGAAAACCCTTAATATTGTGAGTAATATGTCTCCCGAGCATAAAGCTGGCTTGGGTCGGCTTGACTGGTTTGGGCATCAGAGTCTTGAGTCTATTGGAAAGGCGCTTGGTCAAGAACTTATACACAACATTTCAAATATCGATGAGCCACATGTAAGTAACTCGCTCTAGACTAGTCTTATTTGGGATGAAGACTAAAAGAGTCTCATTCACTTGTTTAACCTGAATTGGATCAATAAATCATGTCCGAACAAACCTTGCAAAGTGTGCTCCAACTATGTCATATGAAACTCATCCTTTCCAGGGAATTAAGGGCCCTATCGCATTAACCGCCTTCAAAACCTCCACTTCAGTGAGTAGCACTGCAAGGCGCAAGCCCAGCCTCCTCTGGCTCAAGGGTGTTAGGTAAATTCATTGGGATTACATGGTGCGACCCACACTCCTTAATATAAACCAAGATATAGAAATCTCACACCATACACCTGAGTTATGTCATATCAATTTCCCCCTCCCCGAATCCTTTATGAGGCCACCAGTCAGGTTGGTCGCTTAACGCTTTCTGGTCGTCAAGTGGAAATGAGTGATATGATCCCCATCCCGAAACTACTTAGGTCGTGAAATATGGTAACAAGTTAGTTCCTCAAACTACATAACTCGTTCAAACTCCATCGGAATGGACCTCTCCTCCTTGACACACACAAAGTTCTTGAGGTTTCATTCCATGCTTCAAGGCTCAAGCTCTATCAAGCTTTGCTAGAGCTGCCTCTTTTTATCCAAGATATGGCCAAAGGTTTGATGATTCCACTCCTTCAGTTTTCCCTTTAGCTCTTGTAAGGACAAAAAATTGCCACCTTTCAACGATGATCGTGCATGAACCAAGGAAGATCAACATGGGATAACCAAGGAGCTAAAAATAAAAAATGTGAATTACCTAATAATACCTCATTGGTCCCATCAAGCTCCAAAATGATCGGGCGTTGATAGGATTTGAGAGTTTGGAGGTGACAGACCTAGGCATCTTGAAAGTCTGTCAAACATTCCCCATTAATGAGTACCTTATCCTATCTTTCTTTGAAAGTGCTGCTAATCCAAGTGAAGGGCAACCCACTAAATTTAACATCAACTAGTGCACAATCTGAAATGCAATCCTGAAACTCTCAAACTTGTGACGACAAAAAAGGAGCCCCATCTTGCTTGTCTTGGGGCCCAATGATGGAAATAAATTCTCCTCCAAGAACCTAAGGGCCCTAGACTTCCGCAATGAGGTTCCTGGTCTCCATTCATAGATGTTTGACAGAGCTCTCAGTCAGGCTCATATAGATTGGCGTGATATGGAATGGAACCCACAACTTACAGATTGAGTGAACTCTGGGCTCAAATGCGATGTAGCTTGCACTATCTCATAGCATCCAGATCCCCGAGAGAAACCTCTAGCCTCAACTCTTTAATTATAGTAAAATCCTATGACCACAGATGCAGCTGGACCACGGATACAAGGTTCGACTATGACCTTGATACTTGGCATGAAGATCTCTTGAATTCCTTCAAACACACTAAAGCTTTTGTTTCTACCGGAACCCCGATAATTCCGAAAAATAAGCTAATCATCAAGTAATAAAACAAGAAAATAACAAATAAGGGAACGTAAGGCAACATCACCCATGCATGACAAGCATGCAATTACGTGAGAGGAGGCATATCCTCTGCAAGAGAGGGAGCTACCTGTTAAACTCTCCCTTGTTCCCCATCTTCCTCACTCATCGTCTCTTTTGATCGGTCTGCCAGCTTCCCCAAATACTCCTCGTAAACCTACTGACTTATATGGGCCTCATCTCCCAGCAAGGATAATGTGGCTACATTTCCTACGCCCACCCCTGACGTAGGCGTCACCTGATATGGACGAGACATACCACCCTCAGCAACCATCAACTGCAAGCTAGTGTCAAAGACAAATAGTCTGTCCCCAGCAGGATCAGAGGATATTGACGGACTAGCTAGAGTCGCTGAGGCCCAGCTAGGGTGTCCCCATTGGGTCTACGATTATGGTGTGGCGTCCAAACAATTAGTTGTAGTTGTGGACTCTTGTACATTTTGTTTAATGATGGAATTCACGTTACGTCGCCGGTTTATTTCAGAGTCTTTGGTTAACTTCGTTTGGACTTCTCCTTAGTTGCCCGTTTACTTTGTGTCTTAGATGTTCCCTTCCTTGTACGTACCTCATCGCCACTTGGCTTTCGATGACTAATGCCCATGTTAAACACCACCTACTCTTGTCAAGACGTCTGAAAAACTGGTTGTTCCACATTATCATAAGTTTACACTTTATGTTTAGTTTTTATCACTCCCATATTTGATACATTTCCCCATTCTATTGAAGCACCTTCAATAATTTCAATGGCGTTTTTTTTGGTCTAAATCAACACTATTTGATCAATGACTTTTAATAGAAGCAATGTTCTTGTACTATTTATGCCTTCTAGGTATAAAACAACCTGAGAAAGGTTGAATCAAGCATTGAAGAACTCTTGAGTCTTGAGGACCAAATGAGCTATCAAGAGAAGTTTAAGGATTTATGAGGGGTCCAATGATAGAGAAGTCAAGTACAAGTTGCAAGATTATGTCAAGACGAGCCCATAGGAGGAAGAATTAGCCCATTCTAAAGCAAGAAAGAACGACGACCCAAGCAATAGGTCCAACCGGCGCTACCCCAAATTTGAATCCCAAATCCTCAATAATTAAAGTCCATGGATAAAAAAATCCCAAATCACGAATAATCGGATTAGTGGGTCCAATCGACGTACCACCGCTGCCCTTCGTTTGCCTTGTTGACGAAGTTTCCTAAGTCTACTAGGTTTAGGAGACTTTTTCATAGTCAATTTGGGTTGGTCAGGCCAAATTCTCCCCCTATCAGTAGAGGGGAAGGCTCCATTGTAAGAGTAATGTTTCACAAACACACAAATCTTTACACGAGTGCTTAGCATAGTCGAAGTAGAGGGGTATGCCGCTAAGGAGATGATGTCATAGTCAATGGTGGTACCTTCATTCTCCTATATGTAGCTAGTCGAAATTGATTGTATTAGGATGTGATCCTGTTTATTGGTATGTGAATAAAAGCTATGATTTCATCACATGCTTGTGTTTTTTTAATGAATTTTGACGTCTATGATGATCATTGATTGCTTTAATGTTTTCAATGATTCTTATGGTCATTAATGTTTCTATATTATGAATGCTCTTAATACCATCTATGCTTATGATTCTATCGTATGCTA